TAGTGGGCAGACAGAGAGACAGGCATAGGGAAGAGAGTAAGAGAATGGGTGGTAGGATGGAGAAAGATTGAGAAGCAGAGATGTAGAGGGAGAGGGGAGGAATCAAAGTGGGAAAATGTCCCCACCCTGCAAGTTTCTTGCAAGACCCCATTTGTAATATATCTATTTGGTAGCCCAATAAGATTAAAGAAAGCTGTCCAGATTAACAAAAATCTACCAGGCTAGCCTGTTGTAAGAACATAAGACAATCCTGCTGGATCAGACTAATGCTCCATCTCATCCCCATTTTACACAGTGGCCAACCAGTTACCCTGAAAGGCAAACAAGGCATAGAAGCTGAGGCTCTCACATACTGTTGCCTCCCAGCACTGGTATTCAGAGGTTTGCTGCCTCTGCATATGGAGGCTCCCTTCAGTCACCATGATTAGTAGCCACTGATGGACCTCTCCTCCATGAATCTGTCCAACCCCCTTCTAAAGTTGTCCGTGCTGATGGCCATCAGTAACTCCCCTGGCAGTGAATTCTGCAGTTTAAATATGAGTTTTTTGATTCTCTCAAAAAGAAAGTGGAGTACAAAAGGGAAGAGGGGGGAGGGGGAAATATAGATTCATCAGATTTATCAAATATTATGGGCTGTTACATACAACAAGTAAAATCAGATGTATTAGTAATACAGTTTACTCATTCAGTAAAGTAGTATTTACTTTTTACTGTTCTGAACTATTTCCCAGCAATTTCATAGGGTGCCCCAAGCTCTGTTATTAGGTGAGAGAGAGAAAAAACTTCCCCTATCCACTTTCAGTGCATAATTTTATAAACCTCTATCATGTCTCCCCTTAGCCATCTTTTTTCTAGACTGAACATTCCCAGACTCTCCAGCCTTTCATTATGGGAAAGGTGCTCCAATTCCCAATCATCTCAGTTGTCCTCCTTTTTCTGCAATGTCCTTTTTGAGATACAGAGCCCAAAAGTCCACATTATTCTGAAAGCACTAGACTTCTGTGGTCCAATATGCATAACCTTACACTCCCCCATGTTGAACTTCATTTGCTATGTGGTTGCCCACTCACTCAGAGAGATCCTTCTGTAGCTCTTCATAATCTGCCATAGTTTTTGCCATCTTGAATAATTGGGTACCATCTAAATATGACTACTACATTACTCTCCCCCAATTCCAAACCATGTATGAAAAAATTAAATTGCACTAGCAGTACCAATTCTTGTGGGACTCCACTACTCACTTCTCTATTGTGAGTCTACTTATTCCTGCTTTCTTCTTTTTGCCATTTAATGAATTTTTAATCCATAAGAAGATATGTCCTGTTATCCCATGATTAATAAACTTACTCAGGACTCTTTGGTGAGGTACCTTGTCAAAAGCCTTTTGGAAGTCTATAATGTATACTGTGTCACCCTTATCCATATGCCTGTTAACCTACCCAAAGAAATCTGAGAGGATAGTGAGGCAAGGCTTCCTTTTGCAGACACCATGTTGATTTTCCCTCTGCAGACATTTCTTTGGTGTGCCTAATTATTATCTCTTTAATAATAATTTCTACTAATTTACCTGGAACAGATGTCAGAGTAACTGGCCTATAATTTCCTGTATCCCCTCTGGACCTTTTTATAAAAATTGGGATAACATTTGGTATTTTCTAATCATCTGGCATAGAAACTGATTTTAGTAACAAGTTACATGTACTTGTTAGTAGATCACTAGTTTCATATTTGAGTAAGAACACTCTGGTGTGTGCCATTTGGGCCTGCAGATTTACTGGTTTTCAGTTAGAATTTCATCTCCTGTCACCTCAATTTGACTCAGTTATTCAGACATCCTTCCGAAAAAGAGTGGCTCCAGTTTGGGTATGTCCCCCACACTTTCCCCAGTGAAAACAAATGCAATCAATTCATTTAATTTCTCTGCTGTCTTCCCATCTTCCTTAAGCAATTATTTTATTCCTTTGTCATCCAAAGGCCCAACTGCCTCCCTGGCTAGTTTCCTGCTCCTGATATATTTGAAGAAATTCTTATTATTTGTCTTCATGTGTTTGGCCTGTCTTCTGCCTGTTCCTTAACTGATAATTCATTTTCCCATGACTGGGATTTTCTGTACTTTTTTCAGTCAAACTTTTTTTAAAAAACAGAAATATCCATCTTCCAATTATGTACAATAGTAAGACTCATAGACCAGAACAATGTAAACCAGGAGCAGGTTTACTGCTTAGTGAATAATTTAGTAGAATACTGTTTCTATACCTTTCCTTAAAGCTGTGAAAATAAAAGGTGTTAAGATTTTTAAAAACCTGAACATTAATGTAAGGAGCTTTGAAGCCTTTCAGAGAGGACCAATTCCTAACAGGTCTCCATGGCCATACCACTGGGTACTTTGAGAAAATTAACATTTAAAAGCATTGATTTGGCATTTCATTTAAATCGCTATATATAATTTCCTTTTCCATCACTGGGATGCTTAAGAAGTACATTTTCATATGTCCAAAGGATGATCTTTCCAACCCCATACAACAAACAAATTATTTTCACCAAATAAATCTTCCCTATCTCTTGGTCTATCTAAACGGGTAAGAGATTGATAATTGATGCTTTTTTCCTAGAAGCAACAGAATGGGTAAACACTCTCCATACTGAGAAACTCCCAAATAATTACATCTCAGAAGGGCCTGTGAGTTTTGTAGTGGCCTTTCTCTGCAGTTTCCTTAACACTAATGGGTAATTGAGCCCTAGACGTTACGGTATGCTTGCTTCTGTTGTCTTTGTATCATATATATTTGCTCATGGAGTGGATGTCCCCAGGGAAAAGTCTCTATAACTAAGTCACTGTATCTGCACACAGCAGCGAATACGTTCTGACAGCATGGTCAGCCTCTGGTTAATGAGCACTGAGACTGAATAATCCTCAGGTCAGGTCTGAGTCATTTTGTATCCACCCACAATGCACTTAACCTTTGAATAAGTGGGCTACACTGCTTGTATTGTTTCTGCCTTACTTTCATTAAAAAAAACATTAATCTTCTAATAAGGACAAAATACACATCTAATAAAAACTCTATACAGAATTCAGTTTTCTAATTATTTTTGTCTATAGAATAGTATCTTTATATCAGAGTAGGTAATAATTTAATGGTCAAGATTGTTGTTGTAAGGGTAATAATATGAAGCAGAGAAGAACAATGTCATAAGTCACTG